TTTTGGAGATATCTTAATTTTACTCCGTTTATCATGGGCAAGCTTACAAAAGCATCAAAACTTTTAGAAGGTAACAAATGAGAAAAAAGAAATCTGTCACAGCTCATGTACATGAATCATAGGTTTAATAAACTGGGATCTGATTAGGGGGATATTACTTTGTTATTTGTGCTTCTCAAAAACAAAAACGTTCTGTTGAATTGATAACAGAAAAATTATGATTGTATTGAGACTAGCTCTACAGAAACCTACAAAATTAAAAGATGTAAAATCCAAACAATTTTAAAGACTATCGGTGTTCTCCTCTGAAGAGCCGAGAAATGAGGAATCCAATTGCTGTCAAGGCAGCAACACCAAGGCCTGCACGCCACCACAGTTCCTTATCACTAGCCATGAGAGTCAACTGTCGGAGGTGCCTGAAGACAGAATACATAGACCGTTAGAGGAAAGAAATCAGCAGGCAACATTAAACAACTGTAACAAAAGTTTAAACCACAGACCAATTACAGTAAATTCAAAATACACAAAAGAAAAAGAAAAAGTTAAAATTGTGGCATGCAATTAAAAATTAAATCAAGATAACTATGCAAGAACAACTTGTACATCAAAACTAACGCATAGACGAATACATCATCAAAAAATTGAAAGACCACAATGTACACAGCACAAAATACAACAAAACAAAAGAAACACTACCCCTGTTGTGATATCGATCTGCAGCGTTTATTTGTTGTTTTTTTAATCTAAATTATTGTAGCCAGAAGACCAGGTTGACTGTTACATGACTCATACAAACGCAGAGGTTGCAAAAATTATCAGGGAAAATCAGCATGTGAACAGACATATTCGTGAGGATGTTCTTGGACCAAGATACTGTCCATCCATAGAATCTAAAGTACTTCGGTAATAAAAAAGCAAATACCGTACTTACCATGTAAGTGCATTGTTACTTAGGAAACTAAAAGTGTGCTTTTATTAGGTTCAAAAAAGATGTCCATCAACTTTGGTTGGAACCTGAAGGCTTAGAAAATGATGTCATCTATCCGAATGGCTTGTCCTGTACTTTACCTGAAGATCTGCAATATAAACTTGTGCGCAAAATACGTGGTTTAGAAAATGTGACTATGTTATCACCAGGTCTGTGTGATGAAATATTCTGTCAAGTGTTATGCTATCTGCTACCTATTTTTGTTGTGTAATTAACTGACTACTTTTTGTAGGCTATGGTGTAGAATATGACTTTGTAGATCCTCGAGAATTGAACTACTCTTTGGAAACAAAGAAAATATCAGGTCTGTTCTTTGCTGGGCAGATAAATGGAACCACTGGATACGAAGAGGCTGCATCACAAGGAATTATTGCTGGCATCAATGCTGGGTCAAAGGTGAGAAATTACTCTAAGCCTAAATGAGATGCATGTACATTGAACATCATTGAAACCAACCAGGAAATTCTCAAAAAATTAAATTGAAATCCAGGTTTTGAGAAAGCCTCCCATGATTATAAGCCGAACAGAAGGGTACATAGGTGTTTTGATAGATGATCTCATTACAAATGGTACCAGTGAACCTTACAGAATGTTTACTAGTCGAGCTGAGTTTCGACTTACCCTCAGACCAGACAATGCTGATAATAGATTAACAGAAAAAGGTAAATTTAATTTTCTACTATTTTCCAAAATGAAGTTTTTTTTTATTCTGTTTACGATTTTCCTTTGATATTGATTTCAGGTTACAAGCAGGGCTGTGTTTCAGAAGAGAGATATCACAATTTTTGTAATTCTATGCAAACTTTGAGGGATGCAATTTGTCTCTTAAAGAAGATTAAGATGCCATATCAGACATGGACAAAGAAAATTCCTTTGCCTTCATTTGCTAATTCCCAAGTGAGAGAGTAAGTAGATGTGGAGTATTTGAGACCCCAAACAAACTTCTGTTTAGTCACAAAATTTCTAAGTTAGCTTTCTTCCTTTCTCAGTGCTTACCATATTGTAGGCGATACAAACTGCAACTGTCCAGTCTCAAAGCTAGTAGAATATATGCCAAATGAATTCCACCAGTTAAAGAATTTAAGCTATCTAATGCAGCAGCGTATATACATTGAATCCCAGTATGAACATGTTGTAAGCACTCAGGAATCAGACATGGAAGAAATGAGGAAAGAAGAAGCATTCCTCATTCCACCACACATTGATTTTTCTAAGTAAGCTAATTTTTCAGACCTATTAAACTATTACATTCTACACTGCCAACTTATGAATCATAATATTTTTTTCAGCCCCAATTTGGGTATTGGCTATGAAGACCAAGAGAAAATGAAAAGATTTCAGCCTCAAACAGTAAGCAATTCTATGTGTGTTCTGTATGTGAAAAAAAAAGTGTTGGAACTGTATGATTAATCATAATTTTTATTTTCTCTTAACATCAGATTGCAGCAGCCAGCAGAATCCCTGGTATTCGACCCAGTACATTATTAAGGCTTATGCATTTCATTTCAAAGGAGCCACATCAGCAATCTTTAACCAATTAAGAACTTTGTCGGAAAGTAATACAATCTGTGATCTAATTTTATTTTTAAAATGGTTCAGTTGAAATTGTGGATGTTATTTTCATCTTGTTGAAAAATTTTACCAAAAATAGTTTCCTAAACACAAAGTTGAACAAGGAAAATGTACCAAAATAAACAACAGAAGTGCAAGAAAAATTATTTATCTTATAACTTTTAAAATACAAATTTGTTTTGGCATATAAGAAATAATAATGCAGACTTTAAAAAAATACTTCTTACTTCCAGAAGACTAGACAGTTGGTTTAACTAGGCAAACCTCCTTTTGGAGATATCTTAATTTTACTCCGTTTATCATGGGCAAGCTTACAAAAGCATCAAAACTTTTAGAAGGT